AAACCGATGATCCGCAAACTCTTGTGCGCGGCCGTGGCGACGGCCGCCCTGACGACGGTCTTCGCCGACCGCGCCGAAGCCCAGAACGCCTACGGCCGGGCGTTCAGCGGGACCTACACCGAAACGGATTGGAACCGCTTCTACCACTACCCGTACGTCTACTATCCCCAGAACTACTGGGGCAGCGACTACTACCGCTCGGCCGACAGCCTGTACCACCGCTATCCGCCCGAGATGCGGATCCCGGTCTACAACAAGCGCTGGCACAACTACTACCCAAGCCCGCGCAAGTTCCATTCAGGACACCACTTCATCCTGGATGTGTTCTGATGCCNNTAGGAGGCGTCTCTGACGCCGATTGCGGTTTTCATTCCGAAACGGCATGGAGCGCGTCATCGTCGCTAGAGACGCCTCCTACAGATCCAGATGCGACGCAACGCTAAAGCGACCCAGCACAAAACGAGGCGAGCCCCCGACTGATGTTGGGGGCTCGCCCTTTCTTGTTGGTGGCTACTCGCTTAGCTGCCGATCGACGCGAGCAGCTCTTGCGCCTTGACGGCGGCTTCGGTGTCGGGGTGCTCTTCGACAAGCCGGTTGAGCAAGCCCTTCGCGCGGTTGACGCCGCTGGGGCCGCGAGACGCGGTCGCCATCGCCTTGCCGAGCATCTTTGCCGCGGCGATCTGGCCTTTCACGGTGTCGGACTTGGCGAGTTCCTTGGTCTTGTCCTCGGCCCGCTCGATGAGGTCGAACTCATAGCCATCGAAGCGTTGCGGGATCGACTCCAGTAGCTTGTAGGCGTGCCAGTCGTCTCCCTCATTGAGCGACTCCTGGGCTTCCTTGGCGGCGCTGGTCAGCTCTTCCTCGACCGCGGCGAGCAGCTTCTCAGCCCCTGCTTTTAGTTCGTCGTCTTTGGATTCGGCGGCTTGAGTGAGCGGCCGGGCCGCCGCTGTGAAGCTGCCGAGTTCGACAGCTCGCCAAGCGCCCTTGAGCTTTTCCGGGACCTCGGCGGGATCGACGCGCCACGCCGCGCCCTTCAACGCGGCCTCAGCTGTGCCGGCCACGTCGGCGCCTTTTCCTTGACCCATCGATCCATCGCCCGCGACGTAGCGGAACGCAAACTCATCGCCGCCCGGGTTGAGTTGGGGGACCGCCATCGCCCGCTCGAGCGAACGGTCGTAGTCGTGGATCACCGGCCAGCCGACGCGGTACTGCCCGAGGTATCGCTTCAACACCCGTGGGTCGGTCCCCGAGCTGACGGCGACAAACAGCACGGGCTTGCCTTCGTACTGCTTCGATAGCCCTTGCAGGTTCGGCCAGTTGGCGGTGATCCGTGGGCTCTCCTCCTCAAAGAGATAAAAGACCACGCCCTTCCCCTTGAGCGACTCGAGCGTGAGCGGCGGCGAGTTGTGCCACAAACGCGGGTCGGTGGGTAGCCGCAAGGCGGGCTCTTGCTCGCCGGCTTCGTACGACTGCGCGCTGACGTTCGCGACGCAAGCCAGCGCGGCGGCCAGTGTCGCCAAGGCGACCGGGTATCGACAAGACATGCCCCTTGCTCCTGATTGGATGGACGTGCGGCAGGCGGCGTCCCCGCGCGTTCCAGACGCGGGCGCCGCAACCCTCTTCAATTGTACTCGCAGCGGCGCGTCTACTGCGGCAAGCGCCCCTCGACGAGTTCGTCTTCCCACTCTTCCATCAGCGGCCAACTCGTGGCGCAGGTGCCGAAGTCGGCGAGCTTCTGGTAGCCCTCTAGCCGAGCGATGGTCGCTTGGATGTGGGCGTTGTCTTTACGGAAGACCGGTCCGTGGCTCGGCAGCAGCCACTCGACGTCGCTGTCGCGGATGCGCTCCAACGAGCGGATGAAGTCAGGGATGCTGCTGCCGTGGTGGGCGTCGATGACGCCGACCGAGCCGTCGCGGAACAGGTTGTCGCCGGAGAACAGTAGGTTGCCGAGGCGGAAGGCGAGCTGCCCGTCGGTGTGGCCGGGCGTGTGCCAGACTTCGAGCTCGAGGTTGCCGACGCGGATGATGTCGCCATCGGTAACGGGCCGCTCGGTCTTCACCGGCGGCATCGCCAGGTCGATCCCCTGCGCGCTGATCTGGGCGAAGGTCGCGATGCGGTCCCCCTCTTCGAGCTTCTTCGCCGCCACGGGGTGGCAGGCGACCTCGGTGCGGAGGACCTGCTTCGCCTTCGCCAAGCCTTGGATGTGGTCCACATCGGCGTGCGACGCGATCAGGGCGACGCACTTGCTGAACGGGAAGTCGAGCTGCCGGATCAGCTCCAGCACCTCATCGACGGCGTCCTCGTAGCCGATGTCGATCAGGGTCCAGGCGTCGTCGTCATAAATCAGGTAAACGCTGCAAGTCACCCGGCGGCGGGCCTGGTGGTTGAGCTCGATGACGTGCGGAAATATCGGCGTACGCGGCAGCATTCGGCGGCAATCAGGCGA